CACCGGTGTATCATCAAACTGCGGCCCTTAAGAATTCAACAGCGCACCATACACAGGATGAGGAAAAAAACACATTCCCACAGGTGAGATTTTCCCCATTAATACGGAAGAGGACACCACGTACATTGACAACATTCCCTACCTGTGGCACGTAATTGTTGTTCTGATATTCTCCTCTGTGACACTCCTTTGCGGCCTATTCATTCCCACCCTTCACACCGTATTTGGTTTCGGTGGAGCGATTAACGGCAGCTTTCTGGGGTTTATCTTCCCTGCGTTATTCTACATGTACTCTGGAGGTTTCTCTGTGGAGCGGGAGGGAAGATTCAACTACTACGTCACTTATCTGCTTCTCATGGTTGGTGTGGTTGGTATTGTTTTTGGCCTATCTGGGACTATTTACACTTCATTGTAATCGCCAGGTTGACCAAGGAGGGCGTGTTCTGGAGGCCAGTCTTAAAGTTGGAATTACATTCCAACTGCTTATATATCTACTAACAGATAGAGCTAGAACAGGAACTAATAATTATTTATTTTAATTTTATATTTTTTCCTTACCCATTATTTTTGGATATGCGATTTTTAATCGAAAACGTCTCTTTTGTATTATTTTAATTTTAATATATATATAAATATATATCTAAATATATATAAATATATAAATATTTATATATATTTTTATATTTATATCTAAATATGTGAACGCTGTACATTTTTAAAAAATTAAAAACGATTTATTTTTTACTTTTGATTTAAGTTTTTTTTACAATAATATGCAGATTTTTATATTCTGGAAAAACTCATTTTAAAATTTAACGAATTTGTCCAATCTCACTACTTTTCGATACATGCGTGGCATTCTACATCTGTGGCTTTGCGACACATTGAAGTTGAAAAAGGTTCACTGGGGGACGTGTTTAAAATATTACCCTTAAATGTTTACTCTCATACTGACTGCCTCTGGGAGGCTGTAACTAAATGCGAACGGAAAAGGGCTTCACCGCGTTGAATTTATGCGACGTGTATGAATCTTTCTTTCACTATATATATATATATATTTATATTTATTACGCGTTATACATTTGCTCTTATAACAGATAACGCTGATATAATTATTTTGATATACTCTCTTAGAGTAAATAGTCGTTCGTTTAAATTTTTGAGCCTAACATATTGATGATAAGCGTTTTGGAATTAACTTAAATATATTACTGATGTTATGTAAAACACAGCCTGTTGTATCATTGTGGGAGTTCTGCGTTTTCCCTCCAGTGCGCCACGTAATTCCAATTTTTTTTTGATATAAATCTTTATCAACTTAATTTTTGCTTTTATTTTTTATTGTTTAGGTTCTTCATATTATTATTATTATGGTTCATTTCATTCATTTTCTATTCACTCGATATACTTCTTTACCCTATCAATATTCTCTTTTTGTTAAGTAACAAATAAAACATAAAAAAGTTTCTCAAAATCCTTTTATGGCGTAGATTAACTTGATTAGAATGTGTCATATTTCTCATTTTGCACGTAGGCTGTAGTACTTTATTAATCAAAGTATATTTTTATGGGATTTTTTACACTCATAGAGGTGTTTCTATAGCTCACAATTACTATTTACCTACATTCCATCAAATACTTTTTGACCTTTTGTTACATTGACGAATCGGGTGCATGTTGATCTGAGGAGCTGCACACCGTTGCCGTGTCACGTTTCCCCACTTAGGATATTTTAATTATCCGTTATTTATGTTTACTAATTGTTTTTTTTTTACATTTTGTATTCATTTTAAAAGTATTTGTCTTTCACAATCCATAGCACCTTTTTTTTTAAATATCCCTATCTAGAGAAAGCGAAAACAGCTTGTGTGGATGTATTGCGTTTGTTTTTGTCTGTAGTGTAAATGAGTTATCAATAAAAAGGACTTCACTCTTTTTTGTGAATTGTATGTAGTGCACTGGACTTTAGGAAATACCGTCTTTTCCTTAAGTACACGAAGGTCCTCCCTTCCTTCTTAAGGAATGCATGATGTGTTTTTCAACCCTACAAGGGCCACCACTGGTTATTGTTAATGCTACCGAAGTTTGTTCAGTTAACTGAAGGTTCCACATTTTTTTTTTGTGTGGGGTGTTCTTTTTTTTTTCATTATTCCCCCCAAAGAGGGCCTTTCCGCGGCCTGGAGGTTCATTTTCTAGGTCTCCTGCCCTTGTTATGCCTTTAGTTCTTTGAGGAGAAGTCCCGATTTCGCTTTGGGGGGCGCAAACCCAATCTTCCAGAGCTTTTTTTGGATTACGGCGTGGTGTGTGTGGGGGAGGGGGTGCTTTATCGTTTGACGGGATTTGACGACAGAAACTTCAGTGAAGGCCGTCGTGTGGGACTTTGCGACGTCTTCGCCTCGCGCGGAGGGGAGGCTTTCCCGACGAGGATGCGGCTCATTCACAGGGGGGGGAGGGGGGGGATATCTCCCAACGAAGGAGGTTTAACGCGTTAAACGTGGGATTTTTCTCGATAATAAGGGGGGCTGTGTAGGTGGAATCTGGAATGCATGTGTGGATTTTAACTACGAGTTAGTTAGAGTGTTAGCCACAATGGGGATTGAAGTGTGGGTGGTTTGATATCCGGTGCAGTTCAAACCAGTTTGTGCTATTTGGGCTGGATGGATTGGAGTTGTGAGGACAGTCGAAAGGGGAGGATTTTTTATTTCGAAGTCCTTTTGATGTTCTCTTGTTCGAAGTTGATGCTTTGACGTTCCCGAGAAGGAGCAGTAGTAGGACGTAGAGTATATTGGTCTGCTTTTTTTTTCCATTCCCTCGAGACATCAAATCCTATTTCTATAATGTATGTATTTCGGATTTTTTCAAAAGGACTGCACCATACTTTATATTTCTCATTGACGACAAATCAATGAATGCTTCTTTTCCTTTTCCTAGCATAGTAATTCAAGCAGCATTTTTTTTTATCCCCCACGGAAACTATATATTTTTTGTGGACATTTAAATAAGCTTATATAGTCTATTTAATTCTAATCTCTCAGCCATTGCCGCTTTTAGAAGTCGAAGGTTCAATGCTTCCCTTAAATGTCCAGCGCGCGCGGTCCTACGGTATTGGTTCCCCTTACCAATCCATCGAGGATCTCCTGATGCCGGACCCCGCCAACGCCTCGAACCGCATTCTGAACCACAGCAAAACCACCATTTCCCTCTCCAACTTCACCACCGCGATTTTTAACATTCAGAAGTACCAAACCTCCATCGGGTTGGAATCGGGGGGCTGGGGGTACGACCTGGGGCTTTTGAACTCCTTGTGGATGCCGACGTTGATGTGGTTGGGGATTCTTCTGGGGATTCGCTATCTTTGCCGGGAGCCGTTCGCGCGGTTCGGGATTTACGCCGGGGTTATCACCGAAAACGAAAAAACCCACCAGCGGCGTTTGGCGGAGGGCAAACGCGGAACCGCGGCGTTGTCCGCTCGAAATCAAAAACGGCTCTACAAATTTCAAAATCAGATTTGGCTCGGGGCCTTTTACACCGCGTCCTCGATCTTCGGCTACCTCGCCCAGCGGGATAAACCGTGGTTTACCTTCCCGATAAACGCCGAGAGCGGGGTCCACTTTTTGATCCAGCACCCCTACAATCCCCCACGCGAGATCGTACTTTACTACTATTATAGTTTGGCCTTTTATGCCTCCGAGCTCTTCTCGATTATCTTTTTTGAGAAAAATATCCGGCGATCCGACTTTGTCGAGTATTTTATTCATCATATCTTCACCATGGCGTTGATTGGGGGTTCATTTATAGGCTGGGAGCACCGGTTTGGGGCTTATGTGATTTTTATACACGATATCTCCGACATCATGCTTTGCTTCTCCAAGAGTTTTCACTACATCGTCGAGGAGGAACAGCGGCGAATAAGTCGGGCCGCGCGAAAACATCAGCCATACCGCTCTTCACGGTTATACACGATGGTGGGGGATAAATCCGAGAAATTCTGCTTTTTTTTGTTCGTGGTGGGCTTTGTGTATTTTCGTTTATATTGCCTCCCGATGCTGGGTCGGTCTTCCTTAGGCATGACACTCCATATGCGCTACGGAAACTTCAACCTGTGGGTCCTTGTGCTGCTTCTTAATGTATTACTTCAGCTTCTTCATGTATATTGGACCAGCCTCATTATTAAGATGATTATCGCCTTTCTGAGAGATCGCGAGACCGCGGATATTCGCTCGGAGCCGGATGAATCCTCCGGTGAGGACGAGTACATCCCGTGGGATGTGTCTCCTGGCTCCAACAATAAGGCGAACAATTTGATACGCAACTCTCGGAAGAAAATGTAAGGAATTAACTCAATTTAACATTTTTCAAATTTAGTAAAGAAAAAAATATCCAACTTACAGTTTCTAGACGTTGGTTTAAGAAAAGGGAAAGCATATTGTTAGGTGTCAAAAGCGTATTCCTTGTTGATTTCAATTATGAATTCACACCTCCTAGACTTATTTTTTTTTTCTATATCGATAACATCCATTGACTTATAGAGTTGCACTACCACATAGAAATATGGCAGGGCAAAC